AATTGTTTGCTCGTTGATAGCTTTATACTTTCACTAATTTGTTCATTAATATTCTTCTACTCAATATATGATAATATTTGTCCTTCAATCAATAGCATATATGTCATCAATCCCTTCTAATTTATTGTTAAAGACAAACATACATTATTTAAAATAATTTATGATGGTAATGATATAGTTATAATATTATGTATGATTATAAATTTAAAATCTTGACATATCAATAAAGTAGATGCATATAATATAATAAATAAATCATTGAAGGAAAATAATTAATTATATAATGACATATCTAAAATGTAAATTTATAATATTACATGATATTATAATTATAGTAATTTCTTTTATTTAAATAAATTTCACCAAATAAACTTTCAATAGACGCAAAAATATTACAGCACTATTTCTTTATGAAATTTTCTTTCTGCGCTCTTAAAACAAAAATTTCTGAGGTAGAAGAAGAGTGACCAATGCTAGTAAGGATATTGTCTGCACCAAAATTTCCTTCCCCAAAGGTTAAAAATTAAAAATTTTTAGTATCTCTTTTTTTTTTTTTCATATTGAAATTACCTTCAATATTTCTTTGTAATTCTAGATATCATATTTCCAACTTTATCGAGGTTAACATACAACGCACTATGCACTTGATCCTTCGAACCAACTGACAGTCTACTAGCTTGAGGTGCATTTCCCCTCTTTCATGTGCGAGCTTTGAACCCATCCTTTAACAACTTGTTCAAAAAAAAAAAACGTACAATGCACTATGATAATGCCAAACTAATAGAATTATTATATATTTTGATTTAAGACACTATACAATATATTTGTTAAAAAATTATTATTTTTTAATATAAAATTAAAAAACAAATAGTATTAGAAATACAATCATATACACAAAATGCAAGAATCAACTAAATTAATTGTATTTATATTATATTTATAATAATTAAACTAAAAATGTGTCAAAAAAATATGTTAAATTGTGTAATTATTATTTTTCTAATTAATATTGTATTAAGCGCCGGAAAGTGCTTGCCAATCCCCACATTTCAGCCTAGTTGCTATGGTCACTGGTTATAGGGGAACACCTCTTATGAATTGGACGTTGACGTCTCATGAGATCTCCTTCTCTCATTCCTCATTACATTTAAAATATGTACTAGTTGTCTTCTTTTAAAAAAAAGGCTTAATTCAATTTTTAATCTATTAACTATCACTTTGATTTTATTTTAGTCTAGAAACTATATTTTATTTCTAAGTAGTTTATTAACTCTCAAATTCATTTTAATTTCATCTACTTGGTCAAATATAACGAAAAACTTCCTATTCTATTAGAGAACAGTTAGTCCTCTGACTATATTTTTTTTATCTTTTAGTCCTTAAATTTATATTTATTATAAAAATAATTTTTTTACTTAAAATTATTATTTATAGGCTCTGATACCATATTTTTATACTTAAAATTATTATTTTTAAGTGGCCTATTAACTTTCAGGCTCTAATACCAAATTAAAGAAATAGGAAAACTCATATAAAAACTAGTATCAAAGCTTATAAATAATAATTTTAAGTAAAAAAGCTATTTTTATAACAAATATCAATTTAAGGACTAAATATATATATATATAGTTAGAGGACTAACTGTTTTCTAAGAGAATATGAAGTTTTTTGTTATCTTTGACAAGTAGACGGAATTGAAATGAATCTGAAAGTTAATAGACCAATTAGAAATAAAACATAGTTTTTAGATTAAAATGAAATCAAGGTGATAGTTAATAGATTAAAAATTAAATTAAGCCTTTAAAAAAATAAAAAAAAAGGGCTGCAAAGTGTTTTATCTTTATGAGCATCCTAACTTATATTTACATCTATTAAACCAATTTATTAAAGAAAACAAATGATTACGTTATCAAAAAATCTCTACCCATTGTCCTGCACTTAATGCCTTCTGATCATCTCTTTGCGGAACGTGCATAGGACTAACGAACTTTGGATCAAATCCTAAGTACTCCTTTCCCCTTCCCTAGAAAAGTTTCACACTGCTCAAAAAAAAAAATTTTTTTCTCTACCCATTGATAGCCTTGCCATATTTATTATAAATTATCCGGATGGGAAAGGTAGCTCCACCTTCCCAATCATTGACAACTAATGGAATTAGACCAAGAATAATCCTAATCTTCACTAATGGAGTTAGGCCAAGAATAGTCTTAATATTTTTATAAATGAAGAAATAAGTATTATAAAAGTTTTTTTTATAAGATCTAATGCGACTTGATTACAAATTAATTACAATTCAATGTAATTATCAAATATCAAAAGATAAGCAACAAAAAAAAATGTGAAATTAATAATATGACTAACATTACTACTACCGAAAAATAATGATAAATATGACTAACATTTAAAATAAAAATGTGAAATTAATAATATAATATAAATTATGTTGTTAAAATTATTAAGATATATATTTTAATTCTTTAATAATTAATTTTTATAATATTATATATGTCGATTAATTTAATAATATAATTTATGTTACCTCATTTATTTCAAATTTTCAATGACAAATCTTCCCCCTGTAATTACTCTGTCATTACTCTACTATGGATGAAACTTATGGTGATTTATTGGTGATGGTACGAGTTGCACATGTCCCTCATTTATTGAGGTAACTGGTGGAGCCTAGGCCCCCTAAAATTTTAATAAAAAACTGTTTTAGTCCCTTGAGTTATATTTTAATCATTTTAATTCATATTTTTATTTTATTTCATACCATTTTATTTTATTTTTTTAATCTTTTTAAATTATTGAAGATTATTTTTTGTGATTATGCGAGAGAGAAAAATAAAGACAATACCACATATGAGGATAAATGAAGATTAATTAATTGAAAATAATCTATGGTTTTTTCATTAATATTCTTCTATTCAATATATGAAGATTATTTTTGGTGGCATTCCAAATTGTTTGTTCATTGATAACTTTATATTTTCTCTAATTTGTTCATTAATATTCTTCCACTCAATATTTGCTAATTTTTGTCCT